CCCCAAAACCCCAAAACCCCAAAACCCCAAAACCCCAAAACCCCAATTTCTCAAGCTCTGTTTAAATAAAATAAAAATGTTGGAAACAAGTGCTTTTGAATATCCAAGAACCTACAATGAATACTATCTTCTGTAGGAGCCAATTATGTATATTACGAGATAAGAATGAGAGAAAGGATTCATGCCTTAGCTAGAAGTTTCCTTCTCTTCCATTTTTGCGTCTAGTTGAAGGCTATCAGAATTACTGCTGTTAGGAGTTTCATTGCTTCTCATCTTAAAATCCTTTTCTTCTAGATTCAATAAGTCAGTATGAGGGAAATATAATGTGTTTCTTACCTTCTCTATGGGCATTCTGATTTTTCTTGTCACATTTAGTCAGACCAAGTTTGAATGACTTTGCCTTCTTCTTTTCCTTGGGAAGCAAATTCTCTTCCTCAAATGCCATGGATTTGAACCTTTTCCTGTTCCTTTCAAAGCTTTCTTTCTTCTCACGTTGACCTTTGGAATATGAGTTAATTCTTTTCCTTTTGCTGGCATTCCTTCTTTCTCAAGTCATTATTGACTCATCTTCGAAGTTTAATGAGTCTTCTCTCTCAGACTCTGGAGGATCTTGGAAGTCTTCAGAGCTCTCAGTTCAAATATGAGGAACAGATGTACCAGCAGCTGTACATTTGCTGGCAATCTGCATTAGAGGGCACATTATGTCTCATAATACTATAGTATTAACCATTCCATGATAGTTTTCTCAGATTTTAATAGCTAAAGATGGGTTTTCCCGCTTTGAAATATCTCTGAAAACTGACCATATAGTTCAAACTAGCATGTTTTTCTTGCCATTGGAAGCAGACACGACTGAGATTAGATGCTCAAATACCCCAGTTGAGATCAAGTAATCATCAAAGTTCTCTGCTCCTCACTGAACGCCATATTTAATGACTTGGACCATAGTATTCTTGACCCATAAAGGGCTTGAATCAAAATTTTCAAAAATTTTCTTAAGAAGATCATCTTGAATCAATCAGTCTCTTAAGGGCTCTCAGTTCATATGTTTCAGAAAATGGGCAGTCAGGTCTGTAATATAGTGGATCATTTTCACAGCCTATACATAACTAGTTAATTTAACTATAATGCCATTATAATGAATAATGAGGAAAAGAGGCCAAAGAAATAGTATTATCACAAGAAAATACTAGTTAAAATTTTTATCAAATAGAGATGTTAAACTAGCCTAAAATGCTTACCCTTGAGTCAAGCTGTTGGCCATCGCCTGAAAATTTTAGATAGGTGATATAATAGTTCAGGAAGCAGCGAACTCAGATATTAAAAAGATTCTTCGCACATATGTTACTCTTGGCAGAATACAGAGGAGGAGTAATCAACAACTTTAGAAGTTGAAAAATTAGCTGATAAAAGTCCTCATTTGAGGTATTTAGCACTCAGAAGGCTAATCTGTGAAGGATACTGGAGCTCTTTGAATTTTCAACATCATTTATTATAAAATCCTGAATCCCTTCTGGGTCATTCTGCACTAATGAATGAAGAAGTTCAAATCAATTTATCAAATTCTTGCTCTCTTCCTCGTTGAACCCTCCTTCAAGAGTCCCATAGAGTGTGAAGAATATCTGGTCAAGAGTTGCGTCTTTATATTTCTCATATTTCAGTAGCTTGAGGAAGTCTCGATTGACCTCATTTGCAAACTCATTTGTGATTTTTAAGACAAAATATCCTCAGTCATATTATAATCTTTTATGTGATTTAAAATCTGAAATTTCCCAGCTAATTTGTTCTGAATTACATAGCACAGATAAGTGTTAATGAAGTTTAGGATGAGGTGATCATTATTGAATATTTGGGTGATTTCTTGCCTCTCCTTCTTATCATCAACCCTATTGAGAGCAACCATTACCCCATTCATCAGCTTGATTCTTTTCTCAGGGTTAGTTTCATTAGAAAGGATTAGTTGCTTAATATTGTCCATATTCTCAACAAATTTTTCCTTTGTGATTGCTCCCCTCATGTCTCTAGCTGGGGACTGGCCTATCTCAACTTCGTCAACGTATTTGCTAGGATTAGGGATGGTAACCCTGAGAGTATTTTTCAGGTACGCCTTGTCCAATGAGGCTTTGGCAATTTTCATTCCAAAATGACCAACATCACTTGCCTCTTCAGGACTACAAGACTTCTCCCCAATAGTTTTAGGTTTCTTCTTTGAGATTTTTACTGGGAGTCTTCGCAGGGCTTGACTTAGGGAGACTTAATGTTCAAGCAGGTTTTCAGCTGTCAGACTCGACAAAATTTGAAGAATTTTCCTTAGAATCTAAGCTCGCCAAAGCCAGATCCTTCTTTTGATTCGAACATGACTCCAAATTTTTAGAGGATAATTTAGGCCTCTCTCAGGTCTTTGCTTGCTGAGAGTTTTTGCTTCGATTAGATATAAATTTAAAATTTTCGTCGTAGAAAGAGTCTTTATTCAAAGATGTCGGATATTCCATTTCAAACCGGCTGAAGATACCTTTTACAATATCAATTGCTTCCGGGTCACGGAGACGCATCAAACACTCCTTATCATCTTGGCTATTTATCCACTGGACAGAGTCAGAGTCTATGCAAGAGTAAAATTTGTATTGTTAAGAAGCATACCATATCTGAAATTTTTCATTTTCTTGGCTGTCTCTTTATACAGAATGGTTTTATCTTTACTCTCGGAAATCACCTCTAGCCCTGGAATTGAGTCCTATAGTCAAATTAATGACTATCCTAATTCCTGAGATTGAGGCTCACAAAAGTGAAATTTTTGGCATGTTAGTAAAAGTGGCACAAACACACTCAAAATAGTAGAGGAATTTTAGAGTGGGTAATGTAAAAGTGATTGACAACCTTTATATTGACCTTCAGCAAGCACTCCTTATGCTCCAGACTCTCCCAGCCCTGCCTTGTAAGACTCTTGATTGTCAAGGAGCAAGGAATAAGGGGAAAATCGTTGATTTGACCTTTTAAAGGGTTGTTTTTGGCCATCATTTTTTGCAAATTAGATAGTTGTAATTAAAGAAATTAAATTATTTCCAGTGCGTTAGAGTATGAGGGGTTTTGGGGTTTTGGGGTTTTGGGGTTTTGGGG